AATCTCTCCAGATTCACAAGCATATCCAAACCAATCTGACTCTGTTTCATCTGAGTCCATATCCTCTCTTTTTATATGGTCACCTGACTCCATTTGAATACTGAAATAAATATGAAATGAACACTATTAGCACACAGAGAATATGGAGTAAGTCTGACTACAGAACAAGGAAAGCAAGTATAGCAGCAGATAGCAGAATGGTGATGGGGCTAAGATTTTTCAGCTTTATCAGCAAAATAGATCCTTTTCTTTTACAATGCTCTAAGGTACCTCATTAGCATATACAGGTATCCAGTTATTGCTTGCCGAGACAAATGCAGGGAATTTACCTTAATAATGGAAGGTTCTAATATAGCACATTGCAAAGTCTCACTGCGCTTTATATCTTAAGATTAATGGGGGGCTTTATGGGCTGAATATAAAGGAACTATTAGCAGCTGTGTAGCTTACGATCATGAGTGAATTGTTAGCATATCATTAGTATTATGCCTTGAAATTAGAATATTTGTTGGTCTGTTGAACTGGGAGACCATCCATCCATCCATCTGTCTGTCCGTCCATACTTTATTTCTCTGTGTAGGTCTTTAAAAGGCAACTTAACAAATCTGATGTGGACCCTACCTAAAAACTAAGAATTACTCCTAAAACTTAAAACTATTAAGAGGAAATTTTTTCAATAATGAGCAAAAATGGCAAAAAGCGCTGAAAACCAGACTTTTGTATGAGTTTTGATCCCAATTTTGGTGTTGGGTTAACACTCAAAACCTTTTTTTAACAGTTAGAAACTGATGTACTATGATAAAATGCCTGTTTGAAGCAGTATTTACAATTGTACAAGGATATTTTGTTGCATTTGTGTTAGTATGTAGCTTTGTCAGGCTTTTTTATAGAAAATATATGGGAAATAAGCAAATGAAGGCCTAAACCTCATTTTCGAATAAAATGTTTGCTTTGGGTTAACAGTTTAATTCCACTTTCATCGGTCATCTCCACTTCCAAACAAGTTAAACTTTCTGAATAACAAGATCTTAGCCTTGTACAACAGCCTTTCTTCAAGAAAATAGTTTTTGGCACTCACTGCTTAAATACAAAAATAATTCTCTCTTAAATTTAATTATTATTTAATTTAGAGTTATATAAAATACATACCCATCTATTTACACTGATATAAGAAATACGAAACAGAGCGCAGTTAACAAACTCATATTGTGGAATAGCCTGGCCCCAAACAGCAATATGGCAAAAGAGCTATTTGGCCAGCCAATGGCGCCCAACAGCCACATCACCTGCACTCTATTCCTAGAAAAACTAATAATAAATATAATTAGTCATATCCTTATTCGTATTTACTGTTGTTCCTTTTAGGAAATAAATTTGTTCTAAGGGCTTATAGTTACTTTTAAGAGCTTTCTTAAAATTGTCTCTTTTCGTAAGTCTTCTGGTCCACTTATCTAAACAGTTCCATGCAATTGGTCCTCTAACTGTACTCAAGACTGTTTTTAGCATCATAACATCATAAATAACTTACCTCACGTATCAGTTGACCAGAAAACTACGGAAGCTTCTAGGGGAAATGCGAGATGCGAGTTGTTTAATACGACATGCGAGTTGATTAAAATACGACATGCGAGTTGATTAAAATACGACATGCGAGTTGTTTAAAATGCGACATGCGAGTTGTTTAAAATACGATATGCGAGTTGTTTAAAATGCGACATGCGAGTTGTTTAAAATACGACATGCGAGTTGTTTAAAATGCGACATGCGAGTTGTTTAAAATACGAGTTGATTAAAATGCGACATGCGAGTTGTTTAAAATGCGACATGCGAGTTGATTGAAATGCTACATGCGATCGAGTTGCTGATTCCATTTCGAATGACGTCATTTTTTCCTGATGTCCGAGTCTGAGTAAAGTAAGTATTCCCTAGTTTCCTTTCGTTTTATTTTAATATGTTCAAATATACAGAGCTTTTTTTACATTTTATTACGGGCTGAATTCCTTGCGCTTTGTTTTGAGGACTTACTTAGAAGTTTTTAGATGTAACCAGCATCTAGTGAATGCAGGACGATGTCCAGGACTGAGATTATTACGATTATTAAGACTTACTTTCAACTCGCATCTCGCATTTTAATCAACTCGCATCTCGCATTTTAATCAACTCGCATCTCGCATTTAAAATCAACTCGCATTTCGCATTTTAAACAAATCGCATCTCGCATGTCCCCTAGAAGCTTCCGTAGAAAACAGTCTATTTGTGTAGGAAAATCGAACGAAATAACAAGGAATTTGTGAAAATAAGACCGAACTCGAGTCAAGCACAGTCACCAAGGTGAGATGAGAAGGACCACAGGGAGCCCAATAACATGTGTTTAGGGTTTTGTGAAAGGGGAGTGGTGCTGTAGGTGGATTTTTCATTCGGCTGGGCGTACTGCTTATATTTCCAAAAATCAACTTTTGAGCCATAAACGATTGGACTTAAGAAATATAAAGACGTCATAACTGTTGATAATATTTATCAATTTGAGAGCAGTTGTTTCATTAGTTCAGGAGATATAATAAATTAAAGTTGCTAAATTTTGCAGTAAAAATTTCATAGTGTTAATTTGAAAACCATCAAGAGATTTGTCCTCAAATTCTCAGATATCTTCCAAAGCGGTAGGATCTTGCCACTTTTGATGTTTGTTTGTTTATTGCCTGAATTTCCAAGAATTTCATGTTTTTGACAGAAGTTCATATGAACTATGAACTTAGTTATGAACTTCTGTTTTTGATCAAAACAAATTAATGACATCATCGTACGCCCAGCTATTCGTGAGTATAAGCTGCGTACTTATTATCCAATGGTGATTTAAAATATGGAAAGTCCTCCACAGGCAATAATCCGAAAAAAATGTTTTTGCTTTGGGAATTACTAGTTCGAAAATCGTCTGAATTTTAATTCAACTAAAACTTTCTAGTGGATTATGATCTTTATGTCCCTTTAAAACACTGGTTCAAGTTTATTCTCGATATTCCAATACGAAATATGATATTTTTCTAAACTCAAAACCAGTCCTTCAATCCAGCTTTGGACTTCATAGAAATAAAACAAGACCCTGGGGGCATAGCTATTAATGTGCAGTAAAAGACATTTTGCGAAAAACGTTTATCTCATCATTAGATCTAAACATTCATTCTAGCTTCAATAATAATAATAATAATAATAATAATAATAATAATAATAATAAATATTTATATAGCGCCTATCCAAATTTGCTCTAGGCGC